TTTAGGCTGGAGTGCAGTGGCATGAATGTGGCTCACTGCAGCCTCAACCTCCTGGGTTCAAGTGATCCTCTTGCATCAGCCCCCCAAGTAGCTGGGACTACAGGTGCACACCACCATGCCCAACTAATTTTTGTTTTTTATTACAGATGAGGTTTTGCCATGTTGCTCAGGCTGGTCTTGACCTTCTGAGCTCAGGCTCCTAAAGTGTTGGGAATACAGGTGTGAGCCACTGTGCCTGGCCCACACTCTTAATATAAAACAGTGCAGGAGTGTATAGGTTAAACACCTATTTGAAACCTATTGTATTAGTCCATTCTCACACTGCTATACGGACATCCCTGAGACTGGATAATTTATAAAGAGAAGAGGTTTAACTGACTTACAGTTCTGCATGGCTAGGGAGGCCTCAGGAAACAATCATGGCAGAAGGGGAAGCAAACACATCCTTCTTCACATGGCAGCAGGAAAGAGAAGAATGAGAACTGAGTGAAGGGGAAAGTCCTTTATGAAACCATCAGATCTTGTGAGAACTTACTATCACTAGAGTAGCATGGGGGAGACTGCCCCCATGAATCAATTACCTCTCACTGGGTTCCTCTAATGACACATGGGGATTATGGGAACTACAATTGAAGATGAGATTTGGGTGGGGACACAGCAAAACCGTATCACCTATCATGAAAGTGAAGGAGAGAGCAAGAAGTGGAGGTGGGTAGTAGTAATAGAGGTTGACATAATTTCTTAGGACCCCACTTGCCTCTAAGTACCTCTCCTCATTCCCTTTAAGGGTGTCTGTTATAAGCATGGGACTTAAGGAATAAAGATGGCTCTGAAAGACAAAAGTTGATTTTAAGTGACTGTGATATTGGGGATTTTACAGTGAACAGGACAGGCATGGCCCCTGGCCTGCTGGAGCCCGCAGTCCATGGGGGAAACAGACAATCATAAATCAAAAGTAAACCATAAAGATCGTTTCAGATGAGTACTTGGAAGGAAATGAGCACAGTGATGTGATAACTGGAGTGTTGGGAGATAGGTGGTGAGGCAGGGCCTCTCTGAGGTGACACTGAAGGAGGAGAAGGAACCAGTTGTCCCAAGAGTTGGGGGAGAGTACTCCAGACAGAGGGCACAGCACATACCAAGAGCCTAAGGTGGTAAAGGACTGGGCAGGTTTGAGAGGAAGGGAGGGCTTGTGGCTGGAGCTCAGAGACTGGGGAAGAGTGCTGTGAGAGAAAGGGAGGAGGCAGGGCAGAATCATGCTGGGCCTTTTAGGCTGCGAAGAAGAGTTTGGATTTTATTCTGTGTGCAGTGGGAAGCCACTGAAGAGTGTTGTTACTATGGAGGGATAGGAGTCTAGATTTTAAAAAGATCACACTGAATTCCACGTAGAGAGAATGGATTGGAGGGTTCAGCAGTAGAGAGGATACAGACAGCAGATAGTGTCCTGGACCCTGATGGAGCTGGGAGGTGGAGAGGACCAAAGGAGGTCTCTTTTGAAGACAGAACTGATATTGGATTTGGGGGGGGGGGGGCAGAGGAAATGGCCTAGTGTGGAAGTCATGGGGGCATGCTAAAGTGAAAGCTGACATTCTCTCTTCTAACAAATATATACCAGTTTTTAACAGTTCTGATGTGTCAGGCTCTATGCTAGGTGCTGTCATATAAATAATCTTAACCACTTCAAAGACTTTTTTTTTTTTTTTTTTTTTTTTTTGAGACAGAGTCTTGCTGTGTTTTCCACGCTGGACAGCAGTGGTGTGATCTTGGGTCACTGCAACCTCTGCCTCCTGGGTTCAAGTGATTCTCCTGCCTCAGCCTCCCAAGTAGCTGGGGTTACAGGCTCACACCACTACACCAGCTAATGTTTGTATTTTTAGTAGAAATGGGGTTTCACCATGTTGCCAGGCTGGTCTTGAACTCCTGACCTCACATAATCCACCTGCCTCGGCCTCCTAAAGTGCTGGGATTATAGGCGTGAACCACTGCACCCTCAAAGACCTAATTCTATTAATTTTTATTTTATTACAGCAGCAATACAGTGGCTCCTAGATGTTTCTCTTCTGCTTCCTTATGTTACACATTATTTTTTAATGCCACTCTTAGGAGTTGTAAAGTCCAGCTTAGGCAGGAATTTGTAGTGATGGATGATGGGGTCTGTCCTCAGGTCCCAGATTCTGAGAAGGACTTGAAAGTACTCATGGAGGAGATGGCCCCTTTGGGAACAACCAGGGAATCACTGAGATCCCAATGGAAACAGGAGATTCAGCCAGAGAAGCCGACTTTAAAGGGATCACAGAGCTCACACCAAAGACCAGGGGAACAGTCGGAAGGTAAGCAGAAGCCTCTGTCCTCACCTGAGGCAGGTGAGGAACAATCATTTACTGGAAACAAAGGTCTGAACTGGGTCCACTCAAGGGTTCCAGACTAAATGCCTTTGAAATATATCCCAAAACCGGCCAGGCGTGGTGGCTCATGTCTGTAAACCCAGCACCTTGGAAGACCAGACAGGCCGATCACCTGAGGTCAGGAGTTCGAGACCAGTCTTGCTAACACTGTGAAACCCAGTTTCTACTAAAAATACAAAAAATTAGCTGGGCATGGTAATCCCAGCTACTTGGAAGGCTGAGGCAGGAGAATCGCTTGAACCCAGGAGATGGAGGTTGCACTGAGCCAAGATCACGCCATTGGTATTCCAGCCTGGGCTGCCTCAAAAAAAAAAAAATAAAAGAGAAATATATCCATATCCAAAAGCAAGATTACAAATTTCAGTTGAAGGTAATAGCACTTAAAGTAGGAACAGAGATTCTTTATGTGTTAGCATAATTCTTTTTTATTACAATTCTGTTACTAAAGAATCAGGCGTCCTTAAAGGTGAACATGTTACCTTCACCTTCTGCACAGCAGTTCTTCATATACTTGAAGACATTAAATCCCCTTCCCCATCCAACTTAATCTTTTCCAGAATATATTTGTATTATTTTTGCCTTTCTTCCAGAGCTCTATTTTTTGTTTTTACTTGTCTTAATTTTTTTAGAAAACATTTTTTTTTTTTTGAGACGGAGTCTTGCTCCATTGCCCAGGCTGGAGTGCAGTGCCACGATCTCGGCTTACTGCAAGCTCCGCCTCCCAGGTTCACCCCATTCTCCTGCCTCAGCCTCCCGAGTAGCTGGGACTACAGGCGCCCGCCACCATGCCCGGCTAATTTTTTGTATTTTTATTAGAGTCAGGGTTTCATTGTGTTAGCCAGGATGGTCTCGATCTCCTGACCTCGTGATCCACCTCCCTCAGCTTCCCAAAGTGCTGGTATTACAGGCATGAGCCACCACGCCCGGCCTTAGAAAACTTTAACTAAAAAAATTATCTTAGCTGGGTGCGATGGCTCATGCCTGTAACCTCAGCACTTTGGGAGGCTGGAGCAGGAGGCAGCTTAAGCCTAGGAGTTCAAGACCAGCCTGGGCAACATAACAAGATCCTGTCTCTACCAAAAAAAAATTGTTTTAATTGAGGGAATGTCACATAACATAAAATTAACCATTTCAAAGTGAACAATTCAGTTATGCGTAGTACATTCACAGTGTTATGCAGCCATCACCTCTATCTAGTGTCAAAACATTTTTATCATGCCGAAAAGGAAACCCTGTACCCATTAAACAGTTGCTCCCCATTCTGTCTCCATGGATTTACGTGTTCTGGACATTTCATATAAATCGAATCACATGTATTATGTGACCTTTTGTGTCTGCCTTCTTGTCACTTTCCATGTTTTGAGCATGTCAGTACTTTGTTTCTTTTGATGGCTGAATAATATTCCATTGCGTGGATATACCAAGGGTCTGTATTTTTATAAGTCTTTTTCCATGAAGTAATTTGGCTATATACTTGCTGCCTTTTCTGTTTAATTGAAAGCTGCCATTACAGGTTGCTAGGTAAGTTTTTTTAAGAGACAGGGTCTTGCACTGTCGCCTAGGCTGGAGTGCAGTGGTGCCATCATAGTTCACTGTTGCCTCAAACTGCTGGGTTCAAGCAGTCCTCCTGCCTCAGCCTCCCAAAGTGCTGGAAAACAGACATGTGCCACCACACCCAGCCTGAAAAACACTGTGTCTTGATGATGTTTAAGTTGGCAAATTGTGTTGATAAAGTAGAAAATTGTCTCAGATTTTAATTTTTTTTTTTTTTTGAGATGGAGTTTCGTTCTTGTCGCCCAGGCTGGAGTATAATGGCATGATCTCAGCTCACTGCAACCTCTGCCTCCAGGGTTCAAGTGTTTCTCTTGCCTCAGCCTCCCGAGTAGCTGGGATTACCTACTCCTGCCACGATGCCCGGCTAATTTTTTGTATTTTTAGTAGAGAGAGGGTTTCGCTATGTTGGACAGGCTGGTCTCAAACTCCTGACCTCAGGTGATCCGCCCACCTCAGCCTCCCAAAGTGCTGGGATTGCTGGCGTGAGCCACCGTGCCCGGCTGATTCAAGTTTTTTTTAAGCAAAGTAATACTCTTGTTAACATCTTTATAAACTTTGCCACTTAGCATTTATTTCCTTTTAATCCTTGGGAACCCCTGTGTTCTCTGTGTGTGATTTCCAAGGCTTTGGGACAGCAGGGGCTGTGAGTAAAAAGCAGGACTCGCTGCCTTCCAGGCTAGGCTCCCTCTGCTTCCCAGGCCCATGGGCCACTCACAGATCTGGAATGCTGTTACCTCTCCAGGGGTCACATACCTCTGAGTTGCCATTGAAGTTTCATTAATAAGTAGTAAACATGATTCATTTTATTGGTACAATTTTTTTTTTTTTTGACACGGAGTCTCACTCTGTTGCTCAGGCTGGAGCGCAGTGGCGCGATCTCGACTCACTGCAAGCTCCGCATCCCGGGTTCATGCCATTCTCCTGTCTCAGCCTCCCGAGTAGCTGGGACCACAGGCGCCCACCACCACATCCGGCTAATTTTTTGTATTTTTAGTAGAGATGGGGTTTCACCATGTTAACTAGGATGGTCTCGATCTCCTGACCTCGTGATCTGCCTGCCTCGGCCTCCCAAAGTGCTGGGATTGTACAATTTTTAAAAAATTTTTCCTATATTTTTAAGCAATGTCACAGTCATATTTGTATAATTCTTGAAGTTGGAGACTTGAGAAAAAAATGTATTATCTTGGTCTGAAAAATATAAAAGGTTTCTGTTACTGTGGTATTTTAAAGAGTACTGTGGTTATCTTTGGGTGGCAGGGCTATGGAGATATTTTTGTTTTCCCACTATGATTCTCTTTTTTTCCCTGACATGTATCTTTTTCTTTAAAATGAAAAAAAAAAAAAAATTAAAGCTCTTATGCCAAGAGGAATCTCATGAAAGGAACTTCTCAACTCACAGAGGCCGTGTGCTCTGGCAGTGGTTCTCAAACTTGAGTTTGCCTCAGACTCATCCAGGGTGGGAGAGTCCCAGGCCCCACCTTCAGAATTTCTGATTTAGAAGATCTGAGGTGGGGCCCCAGGATTTGTATTTCTGATGGGTTGCCAGGGGCTGCTGATGCAGCTGGCCCAGGAGCCCACTTTGAGAGCTTCTGCTTTGTGCTGTTGTGTGGAAGCCGCCCTCTAATAGCGGCTGTTTTTTCCCCCAGCCTGGCTTGCTCCTCAGGCTCCCAGGAACCTGCCCCAAAACACAGGTCTCCACGACCAGGAGACAGGTGCTGTGGTCTGGACAGCTGGGTCCCAGGTGAGCTGTGGTTGATGCGTTCTGTCTCCTGATTACCCACTCTCACCCCAAAACCCTCATTTCCAGAGACATGAGAAGGATTCTGTGTGGTCCACGGGGCTTCTCGGGTTATTTTGATTGTGTCCACTCTGACATCATCACACGGCTCAGAACCTGTCCCTGGGGGCTGACCTCCCCTGCCTTTGCCTTGCCCCTGATCTGACAACTGTGATCCTGTCTCTGCCCCCACCCCAGGCTAGAGTGGTGCTATTTTACCGGTAGCCAGCTCCAGTGTTGTTACAGGGACCAGCCACGTGTGACAACAGAGCTGTATCCCTCTGTCAGCAAGAATGGATGTGCCCAGGCCCTGCACGAAAGGCCCTCTACAGGGGTGCCACGCAGAGGAAGAACAGACACATCTCGCTGGGTAAGGATCCATCTTCCCTCCAGGTCCAGGTGGATGTGTTCAGTTGTTCAGAGAAGCTGGAAGGACGTGAGAGGAAGGGAGACAGAGGGAGTGGGGAGACTGCTGGGTGGAGGGAAAGGAGGAAGTAAATGGGGAACCAGAGCAGGCAAGAGAGACACAGGCAGAAATCAAAAGAAAGGGGTAGCATGTGTGACAGGCAGTCAAGAACATGGGAGATGAAGGGTGAGGGGGTGGAGAAACAAAAAGTGATAGTGAGACAGAGTCAGAACAAGCAGGCCGGAGCTGGAGCCAGACAGGTGGCCAACAAGAGCACAGATGTGCTCATGCTGAACGTGTGCTCATGCACACAGGTAGCAGTAGTCACTCCCGAGTTTCTCCAGTGGCACAGGAGATTAACAAATAAAACCACCCAACTAGGACAGTCTACTATGCCCGGGCCTTCCAGGCCCTTTCCCAGCATCTCAGGACACTTGGGGAAGGTTCTGCCAAACAGACCGCTCTCTTGCCTTTCTCAAATCAGTTCTGTCCCATCTGGGCCAAATGCCTCCTCCTCAGAGCAGCCTCCCTGACTATCCAGATTCAGAGACAGACACTCTGCAGCTCACTGGGCCTAGATGTCTCGTCTGCTGCTTCACATGCAGGGTTCTCCTGGCCAAGCCCAGGGTGGGAGGGACTACACAAGGCCGTGAACACAGGCCCTGTGACACTGCCCCTGCCTCACTTTACAATGTTGTCCTCCCCAGTGGTGTGTGGTTTTTCCCTGCTCTGCCCCTGCCATCCCTCCCCTCCTTTGCCAGGAACTCCCAGTTTCCTGGCTTCAGCATATGCCATTTCTTGCTGCTTCTTCAGGCTTCTCCTGCACCTTATCTTTGTCCAGTTGCAGGAGAGTATAGTGTCTTTTTGAGCTTTGTATTACTAAATATATATGGATAATACAGTAAAGTGAGATATAAATATTTTTGTATTTGTGATTTTTAACTTATTAGGTGAAATTCACATGACATAAAATTAACCACTGTAAAGTGAACAATTCTTTGGCATCTAGCACATTCAGAGTGTTGTGTAATTACCACTACGTCCAGTTCCAGAACCTTTCCATCACTCCAAAGTATGATCCCACAACCATCCGGCAGTTTCTCCCCATCCTCCCCCTGCAAGCCCCTGGCAGACACCAGTCTTCATTCTGTCTCTATGGATTGCACTATTCTGAATATTTCATGTAATGGTACCTGTAATTTTAATTTCTACAACATTAGGCTTATCAAATGAAGGCTTGTATTCCCCACACACTTTTGGTTTCTTGTCAACCATTCAGGATCCTTTAAAATTAGAGGTAAGAGTTGAGACAGAATGTGGGAGGACAAGTCATTCTTTCCACAAATATTAACTTAGTGCCTATAGTATCTCAGACCTACTTCTAGGTCGTTAGGTATACAACAGTGAACAAACAGATAAAGATTCCTGCCCTGTGGGAAGAGATAGACTATAGCATAATCAGTAAGCGGCAGAAGATGTTAGAGGGTGATAAGCACGATGGGAGAGAAACAGCAGAGCAGAGTGATGGGAGTGCCAGGACAGAGGTTGGTTTTCAGTTTTCAGTTTGGGTCCTCAGGGTCACTCTCACTGAGAAAATGACATTTGAAAAGACTTACCGAAGGAGGAGGGATGAGCCATGCAGCCATATCCCACATGGAGGAAGAGTGTAAGACAGACGCAATGACAGCTTGGAGCGAGGTGGGCATGCCAGTTTACTGGCACAGAGTGCACCCATGAGTAATGAGAAAACGAGCTCAGAAAGCCAGCTCAAATGAGTGCTGTCAGCTGAGACTGAGAGGGAGCAATTAGAAACTTTTATAACAATTTAACATTGCTGCACTTTTCAGTTGTATTTTTATTGTATTTTACAAAAGAAATAAGCACAAGACTCCCATCCTTCATAGATAATTTGAGAAGTACTAATACAGGATCGTCAGGCCCTACATGAAGGACTTTTTTATTCTGAGTGAAATGGGGGAGTCTTGTGTGATTCTGGGCAGAGGAGTAATAGTTTTAAAAGGACCACTTTGAGTATTTCACTTTATTTGGCACTTAACTCTATGTAAACATTTATTCATGTCTCTTTTTGCTAGAGAGACTTCTACAGGACTGTGACCTCCTTGAAGCCAGGGTTCATGTAATATTTATATTTCTTAGAAACTGGCATTGTAGGCACTGTTAGTTAAATTGAATAACAAAGGAGAGGACTCCCTCTGGCTGCTGCGTTGAAGGTTGACTGTAAAAGGTCCAGAGTGGAAGCAAGAAGACCAGATAGGCTATGGCAGTGATCCAGGCATGAGGTGACGGTGGCTCAGTGTGGAGCAGAGGGGGTGACAAGAGGCTGGTGCCCTTCAGAATATCACAACCAGATGTTGGAGTGCACTTGCTGGGACAGCTCTAGTCAAATCAGTCCTCATCAACTGGCCCAGATGGGCAGCAGGAGTGTGTGGTGAGGGTTCTTGAATAGCCAGTCATCCTGAACTGCTCTTCTCAGATGTTTACTGCTTATTCTTACCTTGGTGTGTTAACTGCTGTCATTTTCTTGTATCTACAAGGATGACAGGAGATATAAACAGATAGAGATGGGCCAGATGAGGAGGTATTCCTGTATCAGGGAGGGAACAGGCAGCTATATCCTTACAACCAGCTCCTCTGTCCCCTGAATCTTTGCTTTACTCAAGCGTCACCTGTTCGCTGTGTCCTCTTATGTGGCCACCCTCAGGAAGTCCCACAACTGTCAAGGCAGGCAAGACACTACCCTTATTGCCAGCCATCTCTCCAGGAGAAATGAGTAGGATTGAGGATAATTAAAGACAAATTTAAAAGGCAGCTTGAGTAAATAACCCTACAAGTCCTTCTCAGTGGAGGGAATGTCTTTTGTATTATACTAAAAGTTTTCATGTTTTAGACAAATGGCCACAGTGAGATTTCTTCCTAGAAATAACAACAGCCAGTTGTGGCACAGTTTGAGAAACCAGGATGTAACTTTTTTTTTTTTTTTTTGAGATGGAGTCTTGCTCTGTCGTCAGGCTGGAGTGCAGTGGCACAATCGCAGCTCATTGTAACCTCTGCTTCCTGGGTTCAGGTGATTCTTCTTCCTCAGCCTCCTGAGTAGCTGGGACTACAGGCACATGGCACCACACCCAGCTAATTTTTTTTGTATTTTTAGTAGAGACGGGGTTTCACCATGTTGGCCAGGATGGTCTTGATCTCTTGACCTTGTGATCCGCCCACCTTGGCCTCCCAAAGTGCAGGGATTACAGGTGTGAGCCACCGCACCCAGCCTAGGATGTAACTTTTTAAGCTGCTAAAACCTCACACTGCAGTATGTACAGTCCTCCATGATCTAACTGACAGATCTGATTGAGCTATTCTTTGTCTCCCAGCAACAGGTGTGCCCTGGGGCTATGAAGAGACCAAGACGCTCCTGGCTATTCTTAGTAGTTCTCAATTTTATGGAAAACTCCAAACCTGTCAGCAGAACAGCCAGATCTACAGGGCCATGGCGCAACAACTCTGGGATCGGGGTTTTCTGCGGACCCCAGAACAGTGTCGCACCAAGTTCAAAAGCCTACAGTTGAGTTACCGCAAAGTGAGGAGAGGCTGTGTGCCTGAGCCTTGTATCTTTTACAAGGAAATGGATGCTCTTTCAAGCTCCTGGGCCTCTGCACCTCCTATGGCAAGTGATGCTGTTCCTGGCCAAGAAGGAAGTGATATTGAGGCGGGAGAGCTGAATCACCAGAACGGGGAGCCCACGGAGGTAGAAGATGGCACTGTGGATGGTGCAGACAGGGATGAAAAGGACTTCAGGAATCCTGGCCAGGAAGTCAGGAAAGTTGACCTGCCAGTGCTGTTCCCAAACAGACTTGGTAAGACTCCCTTGGCTCTGATAGTCAAAGGATGGCAAAGTCCACTTTAGAGGCCATTAGTCTAGCAATTGAGTGGGAGCTGTCACTGATCCTGGCATTATCATCATCTTGATGTGTCACCCTATCCAAGCCAGGAGTTTTGGTTTTCATGGAGTTTAAAGATTATTCCTCTTGCATTTTAGAGCCCTGATTTTGCATTTGCCAACCTCTTTCACTAAGTTCATCTTTTCCCATGGAGTTTCACTACTTTGCATTGTCAGACTGCTGGTTAGGCCTCCAGACCAGGTCTATCTTCTCTCTCCTCCTCTAGCATGGCCTTGCCTTTCACAGCCTGAGCCTATGCTGGCTGGGTACTTAGCACTTTGCTTTCTTCCTGTTTGAGCTGGCCAAGACCAGGGTTGCCTTTTGTTGTTCTGCTGCCAGAAGTTAGAACATTCAAGAATTGAGGGTACACCTATAAACAGACTGGCAGATGACATAGAGCTTGACGTCTTGCCTCAGTCTGTCATTATGTCAGAACATCCGAAAAAAGATAGGAGAAAAGTTGGAGTTTAGGGCATAATTTTTCTGTAATAATTTGGAGCTCAAAAATATTACAATTAGAAAATAAAAAGCTGTTAATTAGCAGGAGACTTAATCACATGAAGAATTTCAATTAGATATTTCTTCTACATAGTATAGTTATAACTTTGCATTCCATTATTTTCCTTCTCTATAGTCCATTGTATTTCTGTGGGTTTTTTTTTCCAGATTTTGAGATCAAGAATGAGATTAAAAAAGAAAATCTAAAATGGGATGACTCAGAGGAAGGAGAAATACACAAGGCTTTACAGAGAAAGTCCAGAGGAGTTTTTTGGCACTCTGAGCTACAAAAAGGCTTGGAGAGCGAGCCAACATCAAGAAGGCAATGTAGAAATTCTCCAGGGGAGAGTGAGGAGAAAACCCCATCCCAGGAGAAGATGAGTCACCAGAGTTTTTGTGCCAGGGACAAAGCCTGTACACATATCCTCTGTGGGAAAAACTGCTCTCAGAGTGTGCATTCTCCCCACAAGCCAGCACTCGAACTGGAAAAAGTATCTCAATGTCCAGAATGTGGGAAAACCTTTAGCCGAAGTTCTTATCTTGTTCGGCATCAGAGAATCCACACAGGCGAGAAGCCTCACAAGTGCAGTGAGTGCGGGAAAGGCTTTAGTGAGCGCTCCAACCTCACTGCCCACCTACGAACTCACACAGGGGAGAGGCCCTACCAGTGTGGGCAGTGTGGGAAAAGCTTCAACCAGAGCTCCAGCCTCATTGTCCACCAGAGGACCCATACTGGGGAGAAGCCTTACCAGTGCATTGTCTGTGGAAAGAGATTCAACAACAGTTCCCAGTTCAGTGCTCACCGGCGCATCCACACTGGGGAGAACCCATACAAGTGTGCAGAGTGTGGGAAAAGCTTCAACAATAGCTCCCACTTCAGTGCCCACCGAAAAACCCACACTGGTGAAAAGCCTTACAAGTGTTCTCACTGTGAGAGAGGCTTCAGTAAGAACTCTGCCCTCACCCGTCATCAGACAGTACACTCGAAAGTAGTACTCTCATCACAGGAAGGAAGAGATGTGTTATGAGTGTGTAGGAAAACTGTCAGATTAGTTCCTCAGGTCAGCATGTATGCGTTCCTTAGGGCTTTCTTCTGTTATGGAGAGATCTAGCCAGTCCGTGACTTGGCAACAGACCTACTGACTACTGGATCTTAAGACCCATGTCCAGGACCAGGAATCAGCATAAGGATGCTGACCTCTCCTGGGTGTGCCTGTGACTCCAGAGTCCTATCTTACTGTGACTTAAAGTTTGATGGAGAGAAAGCTGTAGGGTCCATAAATTCTGCCAGGAAACTAGGGTCTTCCTGTTCCTAGAACTGAGAATGGGCACCCAGTGATCTGAGAACACGTTCTGGGCTAACGTAGTCCTCACACAGGGCTGAGAAAGAAAGTGTCCCCTTTCCTGGGAAGCACATGTAGAAATTAAGAGCCTGAATCTCTTCTAAACCAATAATTGACCTCTAGGCACCTGCCATACTAGTACTAACTTCAGGGAAGAAGACACTACTCTTTGTAACCCAGCCACCACCAAAAAGGGAACAAAAAGAAGGAGGATTAAGCTATTGGATAATACTGAATTTGTTTCCCTAAGTGACTTAGCCTTAGAGCAAGCGTAACATCCAGGTTAATTTTTTATAAGACTTATCCTTTTATTATCGCCCTCATCATAGTCCCTGATTGTCTCTTAAAGTGGTTTATAGACATTACTATTTCTGATAATAATTTACAAACTAAACAAATTTATAAACATTACTAATTTCTGATGAAAATAAAGTTGTTTCTCCCTCCATTTCCTTGGCCTTTGGTTGTAATTTTCTCCATTAGAAACTATACTCATGCAGAAGCCTGCAGGGTCCTGAAAATGACATATATGTAAGTGTAGAGTCTGCTTCAGGGAAGTAGGACATGCAGAGCCTTCCAGGGGTAGGAAATAGGGAAAAGAGGAAATGAATTGGGTTGGAAAGGGTTTGTGCCATCATGAGAGTGAAGATCACAGAAGCAAGGGAAAAACAAGGTTCATCAGGAGATTCTGACTCCTGAAGAGTTTGGTAGATGAGAATCGTAGATGAAAGGAAGGATGGGAACGAGATGCACTAGGAACCAAAGTTAAAATTCATCTATGATGAGTCACAGATACTTAAACTTTTATGAAATCGCCATAGATAAAAAGTGGTAGAAGACAGGTACATTTGTCTACGGTTGTTGGCTGGTGCACACAAGGTAGCAGGACGTTGTCTAAGGTATGGTGAAAAGAATCATGGTCTCTTGAGCTTTTTGAAAAGTTAAGCATTTGCCCCAAGAATACTTGCCAGCAGTGCTTGCAGCTGCAGTGTTTACCCTGAGATAACTTTGCCACAAAATATCTTGCTTTTATTATTTTATTTATTTATTTTTTTGAGACACGGTCTCTCTCTTCACCCAGGCTGGAGTGCAGTGGTGCAATCTCAGGTCACTGCGACCTCTGCATCCCAGGTTCAAGCAATTCTCATGTCTCAGCCTCCCAAGTAGCTATGACTACAGGCCTGCACCACCATGACCGACTAACGGGGTTTGCCATGTTGACCAGGCTGGTCTTGAACTGGCCTCAAGTGATCCTCCTGCCTCAGCCTCTCAAAGTGCTGGGATTAGAGGTGTGAGCCACTACTCCTGGTCATCTTGCTTTTAGTATTTTCACACTGCTCTAGTATATCAAATTTGGAAGCAAAGGACATCATTCTATTTACAGCATTTAGTAGTGGTATTTCCTTTTACAAAATACAGTAATTCTCGATCACTGAAAATGTCAAATCCTAGAAAATGTAGCATTCTTACATATGATGTTAACATAATTCTCTAACAGTTGTAGGCCAAAGATCTATTTGATGAATCTGATTTTTCTGAAAGACAATGCTGATGATTCAGGCTATTCTAATGTTAGTTCTGTTTAGAAATAACTCCAATAATAGTTTTTATATTTTGTTTTCACATTGAAAATCAATCCCATACAAGTGTGCACAGTGTGGGAAAAGCTTCAACAATAGCTCCCACTTCAGTGCCCACTGAAAAACCCACACTGGTGAACAGTCTTACAGGTGTTCTCACTGTGAGAGAGGCTTCACTCACCCATCATCAGGCGGGGCAGGTGCAGCTGAGCAGAACAGAATTAGAAGAGCAGTCAGACATTCATGTGGCCAAGAAGCACATGAAAAAATGCTCATCACTAATCAAAAGAGAATTGCAAATCAAAACCCCAATGAGATACTATCTCACAGCAGTCAGAATGGCTATTACTAAAATGTCAAAAAATAACAGATGCTGGTGAGTTGCAGAGAAAAGGGAATGTTTATACACTGATGGTGGGAATGTAAATTAGTTCAGCCACTGTGGAAAGCAGTTGGGAGATTTCTCAAAGAACTCAGAGCTACCATTCAACCCAGCAATCCCATTACTGGGCATATAGCCAAAGGAATGATCATCCTACCAAAAAGACACAGGCACACATATGCTCATTGCAGCACTATTCACAATAGCAAAGTCATGGAATCAATCTAGATGCCCACAATGGTGATGCAGATAGAGAAAATGTGGTACATATACACCATGGGATACTACACAGCCATAAAAAAGAATTAAATCATGTCCTTTGCAGCAACATGGATGGAGCTGGAGGCCATTATTTTAAGCGAATTAACCCTGGAAGAGAAACCCAAATACCATGTGTTCTCGCTTGTAACCGGGAGCTTACAAGTACACATGGATACAAAGAGGGGAACAACAGACACTGGGGCCTACTAGAGGGTAGAGAGTGGGAGGACGATGAGGACTGGAAAACTACCTATTGGGTACTATGCTCATTACCTGGGTGACAAAATAATCTGTATACCAAACTTCCTCGACATGGAATTTACCTGTGTAACAAACCTGCACATTTACCCCCGAACCTAAAATAAAAGCTGGAAAGAGGAAAAAATAAAAGAGTGGTCAAGGCCTTAGCACCACAGGGACATAGAACACATCAGGGTCCTGTTGGCTTAGGGCAGTGCAGGAAGGTCTGTGGCCCCTTCCACCCCAGATCCACAGCTCTGTCACACCGTGCTGCATAGTACCCAACCCCACTTTAGTCCCCCTTCTCGTTTTTTGTTTTTTTTTTTTTTTTTGAGACGGAGTCTCACTCTGTTGCCCAGGCTAGAGTACAATGGCGTGATCTCGGCTCACTGCAACCTCCGCCTCCCGGGTTCAAGCCATTCTCCTGCCTCAGCCTCCTGAGTAGCTGGGATTACAGGCGCGTGCCACCACACCCAACTGATTTTTGTATTTTCAGTAGAAACGCGGTTTCACCATGTTGGCCAGGCTGGTCTCAAACTCCTGACCTCGTGATCCGCCCGCTTGGGCCTCCCAAAGTGCTGGGATTACAGGAGTGAGTCACCGTGCCTGGCCTTCGGTCGTCTCTTGGGCAGAAAGCCAGTTGTATTGATCTGTTTGGGGGAGAGGTGTGACTCAGACACTGAGGACTTATCTAAAGCACCCACACCTTGCTAGGCAATGCAATCCCTCCATCACAGAGCAGGCCTTTCAGGCACCAGGATATTCTCATTCAGAGCAGGACCAGGTGAACATAACCTGCAGAGGAGAAAGGATGCATTTTACAGGACACAAACCTCCCATCCTTAATATTGTCCCTCTTTGGAACAGCTTTTAGACCCTAGGAAATAACTTTGCTCCAAAGAGTAAAAAATATTACCACCATAGTTGGCCCAAAAGCAGCCCCCAATTAGGAAAGCATTTAAGGCCAGGCACGGTGGCTCACGCCTGTAATCCCAGCACTTTGGGAGGCCGAGGTGGGTAGATCACCTGAGGTCGGGAGATTGAGACCAGCCTGACCAACATGGAGAAACTCCGTCTCTACTAAAAATACAAAATTAGCTGGCTGTGGTGGTACATGCCTGTGATCCCAGCTACTCGAGAGGCTGAGGCAGGAGAATCACTTGAACCCAGGAGGCAGAGGTTGCAGTGAGCCAAGATTGCGCCATTGCACTCCAGCCTGGGCAACAAAAGCGAAACGCCATCTCAAAAAAAAGAAAGAAGAGGCCGGGCGCGGTGGCTCACGCCTGTAATCCCAGCACTTTGGGAGGCCGAGGCGGGTGGATCACGAGGTCAGGAGTTCAAGACCAGCCTGGCCAAGATGGTGAAACCCCATCTCTACTAAAAATACAAAAAATTAGCCGGGCGTGGTGGTGGGTGCCTGTAATCCCAGCTACTTGGGAGGCTGAGGCAGAGAATTTCTTGAACCCAGGAGGCAGAGGTTGCAGTGAGCCGAGACCGTGCCACTGCACTCCAGGCTGGGCGACAGAGTGAGACTCTGTCTCAAAAAAAAAAAAAAAAAAAAAAAAGAAAGAAGAAAAAAAGACCTGTAATCCCAGCACTTTGGGAGGCCGAGACGGGCGGATCATGAGGTCAGGAGATCGAGACCAACCTGGCTAACATGGCGAAACCCCGTCTCTACTAAAAAAATACAAAAAAACTAGCCGGGCGTGGGGGCGGGTGCCTGTAGTCCCAGCTACTCGGGAGGCTGAGGCAGGAGAATGGCGTAAACCCGGGAGGTGGAGCTTGCAGTGAGCTGAGATCCAGCCACTGCACTCCAGCCTGGGCGACAGAGTGAAACTCCGTCTCAAAAAAAAAAAAAAGAAAAAAAGAAAGCTTTAAAGCTCAACATCAATTATTTTAAATCCTAATCACTCTACTGAACTCCTAACATTACATTACACTAATCTATTACTTAATAGAAGCAATAATGTTAATATAAGTAACATGAAGATATTCTCCATTATATAAGCTTACATCAAACCAGAATAATCCACTGATAGTTAACAGCCTAATATTAACAAATAATAAATACCCCATTTATACTATTAATCCAACACAGGTATGCTCTAAGGAAAGATTACAAAAAGTATAAGGAACTCGGGAAATCTTACCCCACCTGTTTACCAAAAACATCACCTCTAGCATTACCAGTATTAGAGGCACTGCCTGCCCAGTGACATATGTTCAACAGCTGCGGTATCCTGACAGTGCAAAGGTGGCATAATCACTTGTTCCCTAAATAGGGTCTTGTATGAATGGCCACACGAGGGTTCAGCTGTCTCTTACTTTCAATCAGTGAAACTGATTTATCTGTGAAGAGACAGTATAAACAAATAAGATAAGAAGACCCTATGGAGATTTCATTCATTAATGCAAACAGAAACTCAAAAAAAGGCTACAGGCCCTAGCCTACTATCTCTGCATTAAAAATTTTGGTTGGGGTGCCGGGCGCAGCGGCTCATGCCTGTAATCCCAGCACTTTGGGAGGCTGAGGCGGGCAGATCACGAGGTCAGGAGATGGAGACCACTCTGGCCAACATGCTGAAACCCTGTCTCTACTAAAAATACAAAAATTAGCTAGCTGGGTGTAGTGGTATGCACCTGTAATCCCAGCTACTCAGGAGGCTAAGGCAGGAGAATGGCTTGAACCCGGGAAGCAGAGACAGCAGTGAGCCAAGATCGCGCCACTGTACTCCAGACTGGCGACAGAGCCACACTCTGTCTTAAAAAATAAAAAAATAAACAATAAAAAATAAAAGAAATTTAAAATGTGGTTGCGGTGACCTCGGAGCACAATTCAACCTCCAAACAACCTAAACTAAGACCGCACTAGTCTAAGCGAGTTAGCACACACTGACCCAATAATTTGATCAACGGAATAAGTTACCCTAGGGATAACAATGCAATCCTATTCTAGAGTCCATATCAACAATAGGGTTTACAGCTTCGATGCTGGATCAGGACATCCTAATGGTGTAGCCGCTGTTAAGGCTTCGTTTGTTCAGTGATTAAAGTCCTATGTGATCTCAGTTCAGATGAGAGTAATCCAGGTCGGTTTCTATCTATTTAACATTTCTCCTTAGTACAAAAGGACAAGAGAAACAGGGCCCACTCCACAAAGCACCCTTGCCCACATAAATGATGCTGTCTTAATCTAACAAATCATCACACACCCTACCCAAGAACAGCGTTTAAGATGGCAGAACCCAGCAATTGCATAAAACTTAAAACTTTAAAATCAGAGGTTCAACTCCTTTTCTTAATGATATGCCTATAATCAATCTTCTCCTACTTATTATTACCACTTTAATCGCTATAGCATTCCTTATACCCATTGGATGAAAAATCTTAGGCTACATACAATTACCTAACACTGTAGGTCCTAACACTGTAGGTCCCTACAGACTGCTTCAACCATTTGCCGATGCAATAAAACTTTTCATCAAAGAACCTGTACGTCTCTCAATGTCTACTATTACCCTTTATGCTACTGCTCCAACCCTAGCCGTTCTGATCGCTCTCCTCTTGTGAACTCCCCTCCGCATACCAGATGTTCTAATTTTAATATAGGCCTCCTATTTATACTAGCCACATCAAGCTTAGCCGTCTATCCTATGATCAGGATGAGCATCTAATTCAAATTATGCACTAATCGTCACATTACAATCTGTAGCCCAGACAATTTCATATGAAGTCACTCTAGTCATTGTCCTTTTATCAGTTCTACTAATAAGTGGCTCATTTAACTTACATGCACTTATCATCACAATGCAAGAATTCCTCTCACTGCTACCATGATAACCCCTAGCCATAATATGATTTATCTCCACACTAGCAGAAACTAACCGAGCCCCTTTTGAACTAACAGAAGGAGAATCAGAGTCAGTCTCAGGCTTAAACATCGAATATGCCGCAGGTTTATTTTTGCCCACTTCTTATAGCAGAATATATGAATATTATCATAATAAATAACTACTACCATTTTTCGAGGAGCACTACACACTGTATAGTCACCAGAACTCTATACCACAAATTTCATTACCAAGACCATTCTTTAACCACCGTTTTTATGAACTCGAACAGCATACCTCCGATTCCGCTATGACCAACTTATATATCTTCTATGAAAAAATGTCCTACCGCTTACACCAGCACTCTGCATATGATGTATCTCAATGCCTATTCTAATTTCCAGCATCCCACCCCAAATATAGGAAATATGTCTGACAAAAGAATTACTTTGATAGAGTAAACAATAAAGGTTTAAATCCTCTGATTTCTAGAACTAAGGAATTGAAGCTACCCCTGAGAATCCAAAATTCTCTGTGCTACCCATTACACCAAGTCCTAAAGTAAGGTTGGCTAAATAAGCTATCGGGCCCATACCCCAAAAATGTTAGTTATACCCTTCCTGTACTAATTAACCCATTAGCTCAACTTATTATTTCCCTTACTATTTTCACAGGAACTCTTATCACAATGCTAGGCTCACATTGATTTCTCATCTGAACATTATAGCTCTTATCCCAATCTTAATTAAAAAGATAAATCCAGCCAGGCACGGTGGCTCATGCCTGTAATCCCAGCACTTTGGGAGGCCAAGGTGCGTGGATGACGAGGTCAAGAGATCAAGACCATCCTAGTCAACATGGTGAAACCCCGTCTCTATTAAAAATACAAATTTAGTTGGGTGTGCTGGTGCATGACCGTAGTCCCAGCTACTCAGGAGGCTGAGGCAGGAGAATCGCTTAAACCTGGGAGGCAGAGGTTGCAGTGAGCCAAAATTGAGCCACTGCACTCCAGCCTGAGGACAAAGCAAGACTCCGTCTCAAAAAAAAAAAAAAAATTTACAGTCTAATGCTTACTCAGCCATTTTACCCTTTTCCCACTTATGTTCATTAATCGTTGATTGTTTTCAACTAACCACAAAGACATCAGAACACTATATTTACTATTTGGCGCATGAGCAGGAATAGTGGGCACCGCCTTAAGCCTTCTAATTCGAGCAGAATTAGGCCAACCAGGAACTCTGCCAGGAGAAGATCAGATTTACAATGTTAACTGTTTCCACCCATGCACTAGTCATAATTTTCTTTATGGTCATACAAGTCATATTTGGGGGTTTCGGCAACTGGCTAGTCCCTCTGATTGGTGCACCTGATACGGCACTCCCCCAGATAAATAATATGAGCTTCGGACTTCTCCCCCGATCTTTTCTACTCCTACTTGCATCTTCAGTAGTAGAAGCCGGCGCTGGAACTGGCTGGACAGTTTTTTAGCAGGAAACCTAGCAGGAGCCTCTATGGATCTAACCATCTTCTCACTCCACTTGGCAGGTGTTTCTTCTATTTTAGCGGCCATTAACTTTATGACAGTTATTAACATAAAACCCCCAGCCTTGTCCCAATATCAAACACCCCTTTTCATGTGATCAGTCCTCATTATGGCAGTCCTTCTCCTCCTTTCTCTCCCAGTCCTAGCCGCCAGCATTACCATACTATTAACTGATCGTAACCTCAATACTACTTTTGTTGACCCTGCTGGCAGGGGCGACCCTATCTTGTATCAACATTTATTCTGATTCTTTGGTCATCCTGAAGTCTATATCCTTATCCTTCCAGGCTTCGGGATAATCTGTCATATCGTAACATATTACTCTGGAAAAAAGGAACCATTTGGGTATATGGGCATAGCATGAGCCATAGTATCAATTGGCTTCTTAGGATTTATCGTATGGCCTCACCATATATTTACATTCCTATGTAGGAATGGACGTAGACACACGAGCATACTTCACCTCCGTTACTATAATTATTGCTATCCCTACTGGAGTCAAGGTCTTTAGATGATTAGCTACACTGCACGGTAGTAATATCAAATGATCTCCCACAATATTCTGAGCCCCTAGGATTCATTTTCCTATTAACAGTAAGAGGTTTAACTGGCATTATACTAGCTAATTCATCATTAGACATTATTTTACAAGATATATATTATGTTGTAGCCCATTCCCACTATGTTCTATCAATAGGAGCAGTATTTGCCATCATAGGAGGCGTTGTCCACTGATTCCCCCTATTTTCAGGTTATATACCTAATCAGACCTACACTAAAATCCACTTCATCATTATATTTATAGGCGTTAATTTAACCTTTTTCCCACAGCACTTCCTCAGCCTATCAGTGTACCTCAACATTACTCCAATTAACCCAATGTGTACACCACATTAAATGTTATCTAATCAGTAGGCTCATCGATATCATTAACAGCAGTCATACTAATAATTTTCATAATCTGAGAAGCCTTTGCTTCAAAACGAAAAGTTCTAACAACTGAACAAGCATCTACTAATTTAGAGTGACTTTACGGCTGTCCACCACCTTACCACACATTCGAAGAGCCAATCAACGTGACAACCTAGACGAAAAAGGAATCGAACCTCCAGAAACTGATTTCAAGTCAATCCCATAACCTTTATGACTTTCTCGATATTAGTAAAATCATCACACAACTTTGTCAAAGTTAAGATATAGGATAAACCCTGTATGTCTTAATGGCTCACCCAGTTCAGTTAGGCCTTCAAGAAAAACTGCTCACTTTCCATGATGACACTCTTATAATTATTGTCCTAATTCAGTTGCTGCAACTCTGAAGAATCACCTCCTGCTAGTTCTGATAAAAACTCTACTCTGGAAACAGAAAGAGGTCAGTGTGAGTTCGTTTCTACTTCACTTTCTTAACTCTAGCAAAGAAGGTATAGATTTCTCATCCCATTCAAGTCAGCTGTGCATATGGGACACAAGGTTAACTAGTGGAAATAACGCAGACTTTATCCTTCAGGTGAATCTGGTTTGAGTCCAAGCTTAACTCCCTACTAAGTGATTTGGGGCAAATTATTCAACTCCTATGATCCACTTTTCATCATCTGAGGATAACACCCACCTTGCAGGGCTGGGCGCGGTGGCTCACACCTGTTATCCCAGCACTTTGGGAGGCCGAGGCGGGGGGGGGGGGGGGGCGCGAGGGGAGGATCACTTGAGGTCAGGAGTTCGAGACCAGCCTCCAGCCTGGCCAACATGGTGAAACTCCCGTCTCCACTAAAAATACAAAAAAGATTAGCAGGGCGTGGTGGCAGGTGCCTGTAATCACAGGGAGAATGAGGCAGGAGAATCGCTTGAACCCGGGAAGCCGAGGTTGCAGTGAGCCGAGACTGTGCCACTGCAGTTCAGCCTGGGGGACAGAGCAAAACTCCCCCTCAAAAAAATAAATAATAAATAAATAATATCCATCTTGCAGGATACAGGAAAAGAGTAGAGATATCAGTAAAGTATCCAGGCCAGTGCTTGGCACTCAGAAGGAAGTAAATAAATGGTATGTGGTGGTAGGAAGAGAAACTCCATCTTGCAGGAACTTCATAGCATATATTACTACTTGACATATAAGTTTTAATGTCTGTCAAGTCCCCCGCCCAAGAATGTAAGGTTTTTCAGCTCAATGCGGAATCCTAGCATCTTGAATAGTGTTTAGTGCTAAATAGGTATCTGGCAAATGAATGAATAGGTGAAAAAATAAAAGGAAGACTGGGCTCATCACACCTGATTAACCAACTGCGCATCAAATACTTAAGCATTATAAAGAACACAAAATGAGGCCAGGCGCGGTGGCCTACGCCTGTAATCTCAGCACTTTGGGAGGCCGAGGCGGGCCGATCACGAGGTAAGAAGATCGAGACCATTCTGGCTAGGACGGTGAAACACCGCCTCTACTAAAAATACAAAAATTAGCCGGGCGTGGTGGCGGGCGCCTGTAGTCCCACTTAGTCTGGGGGCTGAGGCGGGAGAATGGCGTGAACCCGGGAGGCGGAGCTTGCCGTGAGCCGAGATTGCGCGCCACTGCACTCCAGCCTGGGCGACAGAGCGAGACACTCTCAAAAAAAAAAGAGAGAGAAAACTCAATATGGTCTCCGGCTGAGATGTCTCCAACATCTGCTCTCTCCATTTCCGCTGTCATACTAGGGTAGGGTTTCAGAACCTCAGCACACTCACATTTTGAGCCAGATCGTTTTTTTGAGTTCTTGGGGGTGGGGAGTGGGATAGGAACCCTGTGAACCTTGTAGAATGTTTAGCTGCATCCCTGGTCTCCACCCACTAGATGTCAGTAGCACCACTCGGTAGTGATAACAAAATTGTCTTCACACAGTATCAATTGTGCCCTGGGAGGGGGGCGCTGGTTGAGAACCCCTGGTCTAGGAACATATAAGTGCCTTTGCTCACCAAAATTTTCCCTCCTTAAGTCGCCAAGACCTAATTCATCCTTTCCATAGATAATAAACACGAGAGACAGCTGGTCTCTACCCCTCCCAATCAGGGAAAGGCCCCTGAGCCTAGGTATTGGAAACGTCGAAGAAAAATTTCATGTCCTCAAGGAGTGCACCATCAAAGACAAAAACCCCAGGGTGAGGACTGATGACACTACTACCCCCATCTTCTTGAAGCATCCTGATCCTCTGAACTCTCCGGTCCTGTCTGTAACGTTTCTCAGGGTGCTCCATCTTAACCCGCCTAACGCTGTAATTTGTTTCTGGTGGGTTTATCCACGCCAACAGTTTGGGGGCTCGCTGAGGATAAACAGTGTTTCTGTGCTGTCTTCGTGTCCCCACCGCTCAGCACAAGGGCGCAGTCGAGCTTTAGGAAACGAGTGTTTTCTTAGCGTGAAGGGCAAGAGTCACCGAGCCCTTTAAAGGAGGCCTCACTGGGGAACCCGAATGGACTGGAGGTCCGAAGGGCAACAAGGCAGGCACTCCGGGCTGCCTCGTTCCCCACGCGTCCCCAGAGGACCCAGTTCACTCTGCATCACGCAGCCACTCCGAGTTTTTGCGTCCAGGAACCCAGAGTGCAATCTGAGAGCCTCAGGACAGAAAGCGGAGCCGCAACCCTTAAGCCCCGCCTCACCAGAAAAAGCCCTCAGGGGCACGACGCGCCTACCACGCCATCTTCTCTACTGCGTCATGCCGGAAGCCGTTGCGGAGCACGCCGGAAGCTGTTGCGGGGCACGCCGGGAACCTCAAGAGGGCCAGACGCATGAGCAGTAGCTAAGCCTGAAAAGAAAGGAGCGAGTCGCGCAAGTGTGGCACTAAAGGACCGCCCTCTCCGCATGGTTTCCGCCCTTCGGTAATTGACAGCAATTCCATCAATGAAACCCGCCTTGCGTCATATGCTGGGACCAATCACAATGCCTGAGAACCCAGGGCCCGGATCCAGCTGGGTGCGCCTTCCTGTTTTACAGTTAGGTGAGAACAGCCCTGATGGAAAAGGTGGCGGTTGCTGTGTGCCATGCGTAATTGTAAACATTTACACATTAACTCATACTTACAGCAACCCTACTAAGTCAATTATATTACCATTTTCATCTTCCAGACGAGGAAGCCAAAACAGTTTAAGTGACTTTCTTTAAGGACTAGAACTCGTTTTTTTTGTTTGTTTTTTTTTTGTTGTTTTTTTTTTTTTGAGATGGAGTCTCGCTCTGTTGCCCACGCTGGGGTGCAGTGGCGCGATCTGGGCTCACTGCAAGCTCCACCTCCTGGGCTCACGCCATTCTCCTGCCTCATCCTCCCGAGTAGCTGGGACTACAGGCGCCCGTCACCATGCCCGGCTAATTTTTTGTATTTTTAGTAGAGATAGGGTTTCACTGTGTTAGCCAGGATGGTCTCGATCTCCTGACCTCGTGATCCACCCGCCTCGGCCGTTTCTAATCCTGTGTTTTTTCCCCCCCACTCTAAGGTGTTTTCGTTTCTTAATATTAAGTACTGCAAAACATTCTCACTTAAAACTGAAGTCTCCATGCCAGTGTTTTTCCATGCTCCTCCCCACCTGCCCCCACCACAATATATATAATCCACCATTCCTCTTTTGGTGGACATGCAAATACTTTTCTACTTTTCACGTGTGTGTTATTCTGGATTGGGTATTCTGGATATATTTTGAAGAAGGAGCTACTGGATTGAGATGTGGAGTGTGAGAGAAGGAAGAGTGGAGGATCATACTAAGGCTTCTATGTAGTCTTTCTGCCTTCAGTCTTGCACCCCTTCTTTCATCCATCATTTATGAAGGCCCTTGTAGCACAAAGGAGTAGTAGCTCATCAGGATATAAATACAGGGAGTGGGATGTGAAATAGGTTGATGACACTTCCAAGAAATGTATGCCCTCTTTGATTAAGAATAACCATGGAGGAGTTTTCCAAACACATACATTTCTTATGTAGATTATCTATTTTGATTCCTGCAATGTTCCTGCCACCTATTATAGTCATTTTACAGATGATGAAACAGAGTGCTATAGAGAGCCACTGACTACCCTAACTAATTAGTTGCAGAGTGCACCCAAATACTCAAGCTCTTGACTCCCAGAGCATTGAACTTTCTGGGGCACCCTGCTGCCTTTGTATTTGGAGGGCAGGGTAGTAGATGACTAAATGGACAGAAAAGAGAGAGAGAAAGAGAAAGCAGAGCCTGAGTGTGGGAAAAAGCAAGGGCAGAGCACTGCTTTGCATGTCAGATATATGTATATACATATATATACGCACATATGTATTTCTCTTTCTGTGGCCTGGCAGTTGGAGACCCTTGTTATAAACCATTGAATAAAACAGAAAACTTTAATTGCATAAGATAGAACCAAATAAATGAATAAATTGAGTTGAATTAGTAGCAGGATATTTACATAGTTTCAAAGTACTTCCCCATAAGACACTTATTAATTACAAAGAGGGAAACAACGGGAAAGCTGGTCAACACAACCTTCATTTAGTGATCCAAGTAACACCATTAGAAATAAAAACAACTGAAATATACACCCCCTGATAGGACACAATGAGATGCTAACCTGAGTCTATGTGTGAAGAAACATCAAACCCAAATGGAGACATTGTCTACCAAATAACTGGCTAACAATCCTTTATAGTGTGAGAATCATGAAAGTCAAGAAAAGACTGAAGAACCATCTCAGACTGACAAAGACTAGAGACATGACAACTAAATGCAATGTATGATTGTGAAGAAAATTATTTTGCTATGAAAGGCATCCTTGGGACAGTTGGCAAACATTGAACGGGGTCTGCAGATTAGATAATGTAATGTATTAATGTTCATTGAAAAAAAATTTTTTTGAGATGGGAGTCTCGCTCTGTTGCCCAGGCTGGAGTGCAGTGGCGCTATCTTGGCTCACTGCAGCCTCCACCTCCCGGGTTCAAGAGATTCTCTTGCCTCAGCCTCCTGGGTAGCTGGGATTATAGGCACGTGCCACCATGCCCAGCTAATTTTTGTATTTTTAGTAGAGATGGGGTTTCACTGTTTTGGCCAGGCTTGTCTTGAACCCTGACCTCAGGTGATCTGCCCACCTCAGCCTCCCAAAGTGCTAGGGTTACAGGCGTGAGCCACTGCACCTGGCCCATTTTTCTAATTTTGATGGTTATATTGTGGTTCTGTAGGATAATGTCCTTGTTTGTTGAAAATACACCCCAAGATATTTGGGGAAGACAGGGTATCAGGTTGCTAACTTACTCTCAAATGAATGGAGGTCAGGGGAAGTCTTTGTTTCATGCTTCCAACTTTTCTGTAAATTTGTGATTTTTTTTTTTTTTTTTTTTTTTACAAAAAAAGAGTACGCACAGCTTTAGAGTCAAGACGATTATGCTTTGATTCCCTGCCCTAACACAGCATAATCTTGGGCAAGTTTCCTTTTGTGCTGCAGTGCCCTCATCTTAAAATGAGGACAAGCATATGCAGTAAGCCGAGATCCCGCCACTGCACTCCAGCCTGGGCGACAGAGTGAGACTCTGTATCAGAAAAAAAAAAAAAAAATGAGGACAAGCTTAATAGCACATGGCCCATGGGTTGTGAGGATTGAATGAGTGGAAGTGTGTAGAGTTTAGATCCTCATCTAGCACATGGCAACCACTCAGTACACTTAGCCACCGTTGGTCAAATAGACTAGACCTTTTTGCAAAGTCATTAATAGAGCTTCCAAATTAGTCTATTATTTATTTAATTATGTATCTATATGAGACAGAATCTCACTGTGTCACCCAGGCTGAAGTGCAGTGATGCAGTCACGGCTCGCTGTAGTCTTGAACTTTTGGGCTCAAACGTTCCTCCTGCCTCACGGTCCTGAGTAGCTGGGGGTATAGGCAAGCACCGCTACACTCAGCTAATTTTAAAATTTTTTAGTAGAGATAGGATCTCACAATGTTGCCCAGGCTGGTATTAAACTCCTGGGTTCAAGTGATCCTCCCTCCTCGGGCTCCCAAAGTGCTGGGATTACAGGTGTGTGAGCCACTGCATCCTGCCTTAGTCCCTAATTCAGAGCTCACATACTAGAGCGTATATGTATCAAGCCAAAGTCACTTTTCAATTTCTATTCCTTCCATTTCCTTGATTCTAATCTTTCCTAATCTTTCCTGGACTTGAGCCTGAAGGCTGAGAATAATGGAAAAGGATTGACTCTCTTCATTGGCAGCTTCAGAATTTGCTCATTTGAGGTATTCAGGCAGCCTTTGATACCTTAAAGGGAAAGGTATGGGATCCAGACAGACTCTGAGAAGGGCTCTATGAGATGGGCTCTCAAACTCACTTAAATCCACTGAGCAGATGAGCATATTCAAATGCTTTTCATTTCTATTTTACTAAGGTTGGTGAACCTTTCATAGGTCTTGGTGGTTTTAGTGGTTTGTTGTTGCGGTTGTTTGGTTTTTTTTAAGACAGAGTCTCATGTTGGCCAGGCTGGTCTTGAACTCCTGATGTCAAGTGATCTGCCCACCTCATTCTCCCAAAGTGCTGGGATTACAGGCGTAAGACACCGCGCCCGGCCCCTTGGCAGTTTTTGTTGTTGTTGTTGTTGTTTGTTTTGTTTTGTTTTGTTTTGAGATAGAGTCTCGCTCTGTCGCCCAGGCTAGAGTGCAGTGGCGCTATCTCGGCTCACTGCAAGCTCTGCCTCCCGGGTTCACGCCATTCTCCTGCCTCAGCCTCCCTAGTAGCTGAGACTACAGGTGCCCGCCACCACGCCTGACTAATTTTTTGTATTTTTTTTTTTTAGTAGAGACGGGGTTTCATCATTTACAGGATGGTCTTGATCTCCTGACCTTGTGATCCGCCCACCTCAGCCTCCCAAAGTGCTAGGATTACAGGCGTGAGCCACCACGCCCAGCCCCTTGATGGTGGTTTTATCTGTCATTTCCTGAATTTCCAATTGAACAAGACACCAAACATTTTTTTTTCCTGGACACCTAGAAATAGAACTCCAAACTCTCAATAACAAGGAACTTGCTTCATATTTGCTTCTTTTCCTCCCAAATTTTGACCTTGTTTCATGTACACCATTGAGAATGGAACATAAGCGTATGTGCGTTGATGAAGTTATATGTGGTCCCTGTGATGTATTCATTTCCTCATCATAGCCAGTTAGCTTGTTCTTCTCCCTCTAATTCCCTGTGTCTTACCACACCCAGAACTCCGTGTTAGTTATAAAATGTCAAATTTTTTCCATATAGAGGCTCTGTGGCACTCCAAAATGTCTCAGGAATACCTGTCCATTTTCTTCCTATTTCCTCCCAAGTTATTTCACAACTTAAATGAATTGACTGGAGGATATGACTGTTCAGTCTCTTGGTACTGTTCTCATAAATTAATCAGCTGGCATTTTGGTTTACATAACAGCTTTAGGAGCTTGGTCATTGTGAACCTACCTCCTGAGAATTTGACCTAATCTGAGTGTACTGATCAATGAAAATGTTGAGCCTGGCCATGTGCAATGACTCACACCTGTAATCTCAGCACTTTGGGAGGCTGAGGATGGTGGATTGCGTGAGGCCAGGGGTTTGAGACAAGCCTAGCCAACATGGTGAAACCCTGCCTCCACCAAAAAGAAAAAAAATTGGCTTGGCATGGTGGCTTACACCTGTAATCCCAGGTACTCAGGAGGCTAAGGCACAAGAATTGCTTGAATCCAGGAGGCAGAAGGTGCAGTGAGCTGAGCTTGCCACTGCACTCCAGCCTGGGCAACCAAGCAAGGCTCTGTCTCAAAAAAAAAAAAAAAAAAGAAAGAAAGAAAAAAAAATAGTGTTGAGCCTGCAAGACTCTGGACTTTAATAAATTCACCAAGATAATGTTACCAGTTGTCTACTTCTGGAGATGTATTTGAGTATTGCTGTATGAGGAACTGACAAAATGGCTTTGATCTGCTATTGGAAAAACAAATTCACGACAGGACAGTATGATTAGATGTCTTTGGAAGGAATTATGGGAATGTGGAAAAGGGAACATTTATCATTGTTTGTTCAATGCTGTCCAAGGGATGGGATGACCCCAAAGTGGAAAACATGAAAACAGTCCATTTGACAAATTTAGTTCTTAGCAAGATAAAGGAGGACTCATGAGCTTATTAATTATATTTGCTAAACATTTATTGAGTATCTACTATGTATAAGACATGTGTTTTGAAATTATGGGGACACAAAGCCAAAGGCCCTTTTGAAGTAGTTCTAAAACCTATTGATTTCCTTTTCTATGGTAACATAATTGTCATGCAACTTTCTTATATTAACCTGGTTTCTCTGTCTGGGAAAACAGTAAACTATGGTAGCAGGTGGGGATCCCTTTGGCAATTGTAGGAATGTGCAGAATCACATATTGGCATTCTGATCCCAACATGTGAGTTCCTGAAAGATGAGTTATTGTGTGCGAACCGATTGCTGAATTTTAGGAACTGCAGGGTTGCAAGACTAGATCTTGAGGCAGAGAACATACTTTATGGATGGATGATCTTTCCTGGGGTCTTAAATTTGCATAAAGAATCTTAGGACATTCCATTATCCACTGACCAGACTAGCATACCCAAATGCTGGTAGGACATCTGATGGCTGGGACTTTTGGGTGGGATGATTTCAATAAGACAGTAGCAAAGGACCCTCTTTGGCTAGAATCAAAAGGCAAATGACCTTTTTATTTTGTTTTGTTTTTGTTTTTGGAGATGGAGTCTTGCTCTTATCACCCAAGCTGAAGTGCACTGGTGCAAGCTCAGCTCACTGCAACCTCCGCTCACTGCAACCTCCACCTCCCGGGTTCAAGCAAGTCTCCTGCCTCAGCCTCCTGAATAGCTGGGACTACAGGTGTGTGCCATCATACCTGGCTAATTTTTGTATTTTTGGTAGAAATGGGGTTTCACCATGTTGGCCAGGCTGGTCTCAAACTCCTGACCTCAGGTGATCCGCCCACCTCAGCCTCCCAAAGTGCTGAGATGACAGGCATGAGCCACTGCGCCCAGCTGCAAATGACCTTTTTAATCTTTTCTTTTGGTTTTGTTTGTTTGTTTGTTTTTGAGATGGAGTTTTGCTCTTATTGCCCAGGCTAGAGTGTAGTGGCGCAATCTCGGCTCACGGCAACCTCCACTTTCCAGTTTCAAGTGATTCTCCTGCCTCAGCCTCCCAAGTTGCTGGGATTACAGGCACCCGCCACCATGCCCAGCTAATTTTTTTGTATTTTTAGTAAAGACAGGGTTTCACCGTGTTGGTCAGGCTGGTCTCGAACTGCTGACCTCGTGATCCACCTGCCTCGACCTCCCAAACTGCTGGGATTACAGGCGTGAGCCACCATGCCTGGCTTAATCTTTTCTTATTAAATAATAGATTAGTAGAAGAGAAATTGGAATGTAGGCATAAGGGAGAGGGTAAACAAGATGATGGAGAGATATATGGATGGAAAGCATGGAGAGATATACTGCATTATTGTTATTATTATTGTTATTATCATTATTGAGATGCAGTTGCACTCTTGTCGCCCAGGCTGGAGTGCAATGGCACGATCTCAGCTCACCACAACCTGTGCCTCCCAAGTTCAAGTGATTCTCCTGCCTCAGCCTCCCAAGTAGCTGGGATTATAGGCATGTGCCACCATGCCCAGCTAATTTTGTATTTTTAGTGGAGACAGTGTTTCTCCGTGTTGGTCAGGCTGGTCCTGAACTCCTGACCTCAGGTGATTCGCCCACCTTGGCCTCCCAAAGTGCTGGGATTACAGGTGTGAGCCACCGCACCCGGTGGTATACTGCATTATTAAGAAGAGACAGGCCAGGTGAGGTAGATCATACCCATAAGCCCAGCACTTTGGGAGGCTAAGGCAGGAAGATTACTTGAGGCCAAGAATTCTAGACCAGCCTGGGCTGTTAACATAGTGAGACCCCATCTCTACAAAAATAAAAATAAAAATTAGTTAGGTGTGGTAGCATGTGCCTATAGTCCCAGCTACTCAGGAGACAGAAGGATTGCTTGAGCCCAGGAGTTGAAGCCTGCAGTGAGCTATGATCATGCCACTCTACTTCAGCCTGGGCAACAGAGCAAGACTCCAACTCTTAAAAAAAGTGAAGAAGAGATAAAGAGAGATAGGCAAAGATGATGACAAATAGGGTAAAAAGATGAATTGTTTGGGTCTTCATATGAAGTTAATAGTACATCGCTTGATTTTATGGAATGATAGTAACATTATATAAGATACTGCAAGTGGGGGTACTTTGCTTAGAAAAGTACAGAATTCTGCAGAAATATAAGGCATAATAAATAACATGTGGGCAACAGAGACAGAGACAGTGAGACAGGTCTGTAACAGGTCAATAACCTCTGAGCCCTCAACAACATGTCTGCCCTGCTATTGGTAGTCCACAGTAGGATTTTTGGTGAATAAGTGTAGAACATTACAAATAACACTAACCATGTTCCTGACAGCTTAGGGCTGTCAGCTTAGGGTTGTCAGGAACATGCCTTGGTTTTACCGGAATTAGTATTCTTCATGTTCACCCGGCCAGAGAGAGTTAATGAGAAACGCATGTAGAGATGAAGAGGCAATAAATAACGAAGGAGTGTTCTCTCAGCCAACTTATCTTCCTTTCCCCAGCAACCTTCTCAGTGCGCCCTTCACTTCCATGTTCCGCAGCGTGTAGATGAGAGGATTCACCATGGGCGTGACCACTGAGTAGAACAGGGAAATGAACTTGCCCTGGTCCTGGTTGCTGTTCTTGGCCGGAAGCAGATAGCCATAGCTGGCTGAGCCATAGAAGAGGAACACCACCAGCAGGTGGGAGAGGCATGTATTGAAGGCCTTTCGCCTCCCCTCTGCAGAGTGGATTTTCAGCACTGCCTGAGCAGTGAGGCAGTAGGAGATCAGGATGATGCTTAGTGGGACTGCAGTGAAGAAGGTGCAGACACCATTGAGCACAGCCTCCTTGAGGCTCATGTCGCCACAGGCCACTTTGATCATGGCAGGCACCTCACAGAGGAAGCTCTCCACCCTCCGGTGCCCACACAATGGGAGCTGCAGAGTGAATGTTGACTGGATCACAGAGTTGCCCAAGCCACCCAGCCAGGCAATCACAGCCAGCAGCCAGCAGAGCTGGGGGTTCATGATGGTGGTGTAGCGGAGGGGCCGACACACTGCCACGTAGTGGTCAAATGCCATCACCATGAGCAGGATGCACTCGGTGGCCCCCAGCCAAAGGAAGACATAGAGCTGGGTCACGCAGCCACCATAGCTGATGGTCTTGTCTGGTCCCCATAAATTGATCAGCATTTGGGGGACTGAGCTAGTAGTGAAAGCAAGGTCCAAGGAGGAGAGGTTGCTGAGGAAGAAGTACATGGGTGTGTGGAGCCGGGCATCCAGGCAGGAAAGCAAGATGATGACTGAGTTCCCAAGTAGGGTCAGCTAATAGGAGAAAACGATGGCTATGAAAAAGATCATCTCCAGCTGGGGATGGTCAGATATGCCCATCAGAACAAAGCCCTTCAAGGAGCTGTCATTGGCCCCGTCCATCACTGGTTGCCTTCAGTCACTTGACAAATTCATTCAGAGCAAACTGCTGGGAGAAAAGCAAGTCAAGAAGAAGCTGTTGGCTGAGGTGGATTTGCATCAGGAATGGTCTAATAGTTATCTGGGATCCATAGTTAAGTAACAACCTATTTTTTGTTTTTTGAGACAGAGTCTCTCTCTGTCACCTAGGTTGGAGTGCAGTGGCACAATCTCAGCTCACTGCAACCTCCATCTTCCTGGCTCAAGCAGTCCTCTTGTCTCAGCCTCCCAAGTAACTGTGACCACAGGTGTGTGCCACCACATCCAGAAAATTTTTGTATCTTTTGTAGAGATGGGGTTTTGCCATGTTGCCCAGGCTTGTCTCCAACTCTTGGGCTCAAGTGATCCATCTGCCTCAGCCTCCAAAAGTGCTGGGATTACAGCCGTGAACCACTGCACCTGGACTCCAACTTACTTTTTAAGATTGCAAGCTTTTTTTTCTTTCTTTTTTTCTTTTTTTTTTTTTTTTTTTTTTTTTTGAGACAGAGTCTCACTCTGTTACCCAAGCTGGAGTGCAATCTCGGCTCATTGCAACTTCCACCTCCCGGGTGCAAGCAATTCTCCTGCCTCAGCCTCCTGAGTAGCTGGGACTACAGGCATGCACCACCATGCATGGCTAATTTTTGTACTTTTAGTAGAGACAGGGTTTCACCATGTTGCCCAGGCTGGTCTTGAACTCCTGACCTTGTGATCTGCCCACCTCAGCCTCCCAAAGTGCTGGGATTACAGGTGTGAGCCACTGTACCTGGCCTAGATTGCAAACTTTTGTTGTAATCCCCATCTAATGTTGGTTACACAACGAATGGAAAAGTTGATTCCATCAGAATGTCAGGCATGAGCTAACACGGAAATGAAGGAAATACCTCATGATGACAGAACCAAAAGACCCCAAGAACTGAGGGGCTCTTCAGTTGAGAACAATGGCTATGACAGGATAGAGAGAGTTGACCATTAGAAATAGATGTGAAAATTCTCAAAAGACAAATTTCAGTCAGGCATGGTGGCTCACACCTGTAATCCCAGCATTTTCAGAGGCTGAGGTGGGAGGATCGCTTGAGCTCCAGTGTTCAAGGCTGCAGTGAGCCACTGTACTCCAATGCCTGAGTGACAGAGGGAGACCCTATCTCTTGAAAACAACAGCAACAACACATTTCCCCAGCCAAGGTTTTCATACGCTCAGGGAAGGGGGAGGCAGACACATTGCATTTGGAAAAGCTCCCCAGAAATCTCTGTTAAATTTCCTCTGCTCTCTTCTACATCCCTCCCCTCTGAGTTTTACCTCAGTGCTAGATCTAGAAAGATGACGTTTGAGGAATAACATGATGAATCTATAAAATCGCAGAAATAATGGAAAGATTAAATATTGACTTATGCTCCAAATACAGAAGCTGGGAATATACAATTTAAGAGGAGGTCAATGTAGAGCAAACAAAACTTCGCTTAAGCTTAAATAAGTTTAGGTGGAAAAGGCAAAATATACAAACAGAGGTTATGCAAAAAGGGGTTAAATTAGTTAATGGGTAATTAGTAAGGGAAATTACAAGATTTACAGAGGAGATCCCTATCTTTTCAGGTATATAACTACTATGCCCACCTCTAACTCATCAAATAACTCTCTTTTTTTTTTTTTTGAGATGGAGTCTCCTTCTGTCGCCCAGGCTGGAGTGCAGTGACACAGTCTCGGCTCACAGCAAGCTCTGCCTCCTGGGTTCACGCCATTCTCCTGCCTCAGCCTCCCGAGTAGCTGGGACTACAGGCACCCGCCACCATGCCCGTCTAATTTTTTTGTATTTTTAGTAGAGACAGGGTTTCACCGTGTTAGCCAGGGTGGTCTCGATCTCCTGACCTCATGATCCACCCGCCTTGGCCTCCCAAAGTGCTGGGATTTCAGGTGTGAGCCACTGCGCCCGGCCAATCATCAAATAATTCTTAACATCTCATGAGACCAGGTACAGTCTTTCTTTTTCTTTTCTTTTTAATTTTTTTAGACAGAGTCTAGCTCTGTTGCCCAGGCTGGAGTGTAGTGGTGCAATCTCAGCTCACTGCAACCTCTGCCTCCCTGAGCCAGGCCTACTTATTCTTTTCATCTAGGACTTAAGAGAGCTGAGGAACTGAGTTACTAACCTAATAATCAGCTTATCTTTCTTTTCAGAAGTTCTTCCTGAAATCCATTCGACTACTTCCTGCCAGTTCAAGTGCTCGTTCCCTTGTGTCCCTTTAGGGAAAAGAAACAGACAGGGCTGGGCACAGTGGCTCACACCTGTAATCCCAGCACTTTGGGAGGCCAAGGCAGGCAGATCACTTGAGGTTGGGAGTTCGAGACCAACCTGGCCAACATGGTGAAACCCGTCTCTACTAAAAATACAAAAATTATCTGGGCGGGGTAGTACATGATGGAAATCCCAGCTACTCAGGAGGCTGAGGCAGGAGAATCACTTGAACCCAGCAGGCAGAGGTTGCAGTCAGCTGAGATCACGCCATTGCACTCCAGCCTGGGCGACAAGAGTGAAACTCCACCTCAGAAAAGAAAAAAAAAGAAAGAAAGAGAAACAGACAGAAAGACAGTGCTCATCTTCTTCCAAAGTTGTTTGGTCTGGGGGGGAGCTGGTATTAGACAAAGTGAACAGGGATTTTCCTCCTCCCCAAATCTTAGAACTCAAGAATAAGAAATGGGGGAGTTTGAATCTTAAGTCAATTAACGATGAATGAAAGAAAAAAATGCATAGTTAATAGTACATTTATGGAAATTGTTACTGCTAAGAGACATCACAGTAATAAGATGTCTTGGCTCACTGGGACCTCCACCTGCTGGGTTCAAGTTATTCTCCTGCCTCAGCCTCCCTAGTAGCTGGGATTACAGGCATGCACCACCACACCTGGCTCCCAAATCAGTGCCTTTAAAAAGCTATTTAACACTGTCCGTTTTCTCTCTCCTTCTCTATCTGCTATTTTCCTTTTCCCATCTTTTTTTCCCCCTTTGCCTCTCTCTCCTACACCCTGGATTCTCTAATAATCAGTCTAGGGATTGTTTATGGAAATGTACCTTTGGCCTCGAGATTCCCCCACATCCATCCGCTGTCTCCATGCTTAGTGAATCAAGTAGAGAGGGCAGGCATGGGACCAAGGAGGAGGCTGTGCTGCGCTCCTCCTGCCCGCGAACTGGGGCCACAGCTTTTAACCTCGGGGCTCTTCTGGCCCTGGAGAAACATTGGGTCTCATTTGGAAGCCTGGCTTGCTCTGGCTGACTCTGTAGAGCCCAAGGGTAGATCTCCACCCCTGCACAAGCAATAAGCACAAAGCGCCAGTGTGGCCAGAACACAGGAAAAAGCTGTCCCTGAAGAATCGACTCAGTCTTTCACCTGAACTCCCTCCCCAAACACAGATTAGTAATTGAACTAGTAATAAAAATGACAGTATTTCTTAAATAATTGCTAATTATATGATTTTATTCTTTTCACGGTGTTGTGACATTATCAAACTTAGTTCCTAAAACACTACACGATGTGGGGGGTGTGGAAGGCAGGTGGCCTTATCTCCTCTTGGCAGAGGAGTAAGTTGAACATAAAGTGGTTATATGACAGGCTCAGGGTCACACAGGAGTGACCTGACTCCTGTGATGGCTTTTCTACAGGCTATCCTATGCAGAGGAAGTTGCTCTTTTTGACTCATCATCTGAGAGCTGTCATCCTTGAGTTTTTGTTCTTTAGAGGGGCAAGGGCAGAGAAGGGGAGTCCCGCTTCTCTGGTTCCAACATAAACCACAGATCAGGGACATGAGCCTTAGACACTCACAGGGTACCCTGTGAAAAGCAAGAACTTACAGCCACTATTCAATAAACACATAACAGGTGCCTGGCAACCTGAATAGGCCACTAGATGTCACAGAAGATGAATTACCCTGAAACTACTGGCTCAGAAACCACATTCATTCAAGACACAGTCTCTAAGGGTGGAGAGTATGCCAGGTGCAGGTGGGGTACAGGGTGAGCAAGATCGGTCTGGCTCCTGCCCAGTGGGGCCCACTGTCCCGTGGGCCTGGCCCCAGCAAATCTCTCCTGATCATAGAACTGTTTGCTGGCTTGTGCTGTGTGCTGGTCACTGTGTCCAGCAGTTTATAAACATGATCACAACCACCACACCAGGCAGGTGTTATTATTCCTGTTTTACAATAGAGGAACTGAGGCTGAGAGGTATTCAGTAATTTGTCAAAGGGCAAATGGCTAGTAAACTGCACAGCCACTAAAATGAGGTCTATCTAACTCCCAAATCCATACTTATGAGAAACTGGATAATCTCAATGTCCATCAGTAGGGGAATTCGGTAAATGATGACTCCTCTATGGAATGCTGTGCTCGCTGTCATCATTGGTCTCTGCAAGACCTCTCTTAAATACTGTATTTTATTCACTTTTTCCACTTTATTCCCAGTCCCCATTCTCGTTCCTCTGCATTGCCCCATAGGCATCTAATGCATTTGGTCTATTAGTGTTTGGATAGATATGTGTCCTTTAAAAATATATAGTGTTATTTTGTGTATGTGCATGTTTTAATTTACACCAATAGCCCTCATTCTGTTTCTTACCTTTTCATAACTTTTTCACTTTGTTTGAATAGACATCTACGTTGTTAGGGATGCACTTAATGTTTCTATGCTAAATATGCATCTATCATATTCTATTTATCCATTTAATTAGAGATGAATATATAACTTGCCTTTAATTTCCACCTACCACAAGAAAATGCTATAGTGGGTGTGTGCGTGTGTGCATGTGCGTGTGTGTGTGCATGGGTGTTCATGTGTGTGCGTGTATGTGCATGTCCGTGTGTGTGCACGTGTGTGCGTGTGCGTGTGTGTGCGTGTGTATGTGTGTACTCTTTTAAGGGCTAGATCTGCAGGTTCTGATATGGAAGAACATCCTAGGCATATTGCTAAGTGATAAAAGCCAGTTGCAGAGCAATGCACATCGTATGATCTCATTTTCTGAGAAAAACCACATATATGTACATATTCGTTTGTATGCAAACAGGAAACTCTGGAAGGAAAGAAAAAAGCAGGCAGCTGATATGAGGAGTGGAGGTGTGGACTGAGGAGGGGACACTGCACTACAGCCTGGGCAACAGAGCAAAACTCTGTCTCAAAAAAAAAAAAGTATGTGTGTTGTTTGAATAT